TATATCTCTCTCTCTCTCTCTCTCTCTCTCTCTCTCTCTCTCTCTCTCTCTCTCTCTCTCTCTTTCTCTTTCGCCTGACTCGAGACCTTTTTCTTATACATGTTAAAGCACGAATGTAGAACAAGCTGTCTTTGGATCAAACAGGTATAAAATAGGCTCTCCTTAAAAAATAGCGTTTACGATATCGTAATATTAACGCGCGCGCGCGTGCACGTGCGACAACGTGAGCCTCGATCCATCTCCTCGAATCGATCTCTCGTAGAAAGTAAAAGTGCTTTTGATCGACGGCTCGCGATCTTCCTTGTCGAGCCGCCGTCGCTTCGCCCCTTCGTTTCTCCCCTTTCTTGCACGGACCCGATTAAGAAAAAAAAAAAATCAACGAGACCAACAAATGTACAAAAAAAATTCGCGAGCTTCTCCGTATCAAGAGAGAAAGTCAAATGCGAAAAGCGTCAGCACGCCGATCTCGCTCGTTCGCGCGGGATCTCAACGTGGAGCGGACCCTCTTATCCGGTCACGTGGAGGATCTCCCCGGCTCACTTGAGGTCCTCGTCGTCCTCGTTGGCGAGCAGCTCGTCGATCTGCTTCTCCCAGTCGTTATCGCTCGCCGCGGTGTCTTTCGTCGCTGTCGAAACGGCGCTCCTCTCCCGGCTGCCGCTGCCGTCGTTATTGCTGCCGGTTACAACCTCGTAATCCTTTAGCTCGGCCTCCAATTCACGTTCCCAATCTTCTTCTGCGGAGAGGCACAAGCAGCGTTGTAGCTATTTTGCAGAGAGGGCCACACTCTGGTCTTGTTTGTCTGTCTGTTTCGTCTGTTTGTGTTTCCGCGCTGAATATCTGAGTTTCTTGCGCACGGAAATCATTTTATGTGTGTGTTTATGTTTAAAATGTGTATGTACGTATGTATGCGAGTGTGTATATGTGCGTGTAGAAGTATTAGGATTGGAGAGAGGGGGGGGGGGGACAAAACTCAAATTACAGGACTGAAGAAATCAAAGGGTTGGGGAAAGAGAGAATACGAGAGCAACGGAAGCGAGAGAGAAAGGCTTCGACGTTCATATTTCGAAAGCTTTCGCTCTGAGTTTCGGTTCGTTAAGCGCGTTAAAGACAAGGATACGTTAGTATTCTGAGAGAAAGAGAAAAAGGGAAACAGAGACAGAGAGAGGAGATATTACACGATTATCACGAGAACGACGCGATCGTGTTCGTGCGTCTTTTTTCCCCTATTCTTTCTGCGCTTATCATTTTACGCACGACGACGACGACGACGACGACGACGACGACGACTATCACACGATCACTGACTATAATAATTCTCTGGAAAATACAGCGAATTGCCGGGAGGAGTAGCTATAGAGTTAATCACGTTTCTCTTAACACGTACTCGTTACAAAAGTGACTGACTCGCAATTACAAAAGTAATTAATCGGGATATCGCGACTTAAACGCTTCGGAAATGCGATTATCCGATAGATGCGCTATCGCGAGAGTAATCCTCTCTCGCTGCGCTCTAAGACAACGGTGTCCAAAGTCGTGCTATAGATAAATACGAAAGCTATAGAAAACAGTAAAATAACAATATTTCATATAGCTCAAGAGGGGATCTCGCTGTGAAAACAATCAGAATGAAAAATATCAAAACGGTGGATTTCATTTTTCGGCGACCTGCTCGAGCAAAATTTTATATAAAATTTTAATAAAAATTTTTAATAAAATTTTATATAAAATTCTAAACAGCGCACACGATTTTTTTTTTTATAAGTCGCGCTAGTTTGTTAACGCGGCTTTTGGACACCGTCGCGCTAAAATAAATCGCAATATTTCGCTCAAGCGCGAAATTATCTATATCACGTGCGTACGTACGCGTAAAAAGTGCGGGAATAAACTAGGTAGGCGTCAATAAACATTGCGGCCTCTAATAGGAATGTTTAATTCTTAAATAATATTCTATTCTCTTTTGCGGCGCATTTCCCAGTCGCATCGCCCGTCTTATCCCCGGTATATTTCGCTCCAACAGCTAAAAACGAGCTCGCCGGGGGTGATCCTAAAAGACGCAGCTTAAACGTATCTGGACGCAGCCGTCTCTCTAAGGAAAGTAAACGATAGAAAATAACAAGGGCGGACACGGCCGTCTCGCGCGAGACGTCTTTCTCTTCTGCGAAATCACACGAAACAATACTGAAGATGCTTCGCAAAAAATGCTTACGCGAAACCGCGTCCTCCGTCTATCGATTCATTCCCCTTACATGCGTCGAACTGCGATAATCTCGATATCCCCGATGCGGAAAACGTCGTGCGGAGAAAAAAGTGCGCACCGCGAGAACCGAAAGCCATAATTCAGTCGTCACCGACTTTTATCTGACTGCACGAAACGTAAGCGGATAATCCGATATTTTCGTGAGCGTTTTTACGGGAATCTACGTCCCCTTCGTAATACTGCAGGATACTAAATTAAAAAAAAAAGGAATAAAATACAAATGCCGCAAGGCGATACGAAAAAAATCGTATCGCCCATTATTTTACTTTTATCTTCTTTATTTTTATTTTCCAGTCAATTTCAATGTAAGCGTAAAATGACTCAACATACAGTGGAGACATGTGAATTAAACAATATTAATACGTTTGGAATGCACATGATCTCTACTTACTTAAAAAAAAAATAAAAAAATAAAAATTAACTCGTTTATTTCATTACGCGATAAAATACTACAAAAAAACGTTGTATGTACAAAATTCAACCGCGAATGTCACCGTCGAGATGAAACGATCTCTGAGCAATCTATCCGACTGCCGTAATACTGCTAAATGTTCGACGTTCCCCGCGAGACTAACCCGCGATATTAATTAACGGAAAATAACCGAATTCTTAACGCTAACTTCGATAATTCATAGGACTTCGCTGCGGGCGGGGTTCTATACCGATCGCAAAGGTATATTCGCTTTGCCCTCTTTTTTCTTCCCCCCTCCCCCCCCCCCTCCGGACGGACGCTAAAAAAAACCGCATCTCTCGCGTAAATCTTCGCGATAGGCGCACGCGAATCACGCTCGTCGGGCGCGTTTGCGTTCCACCGAATCGTTCGCCGTCCGCGTGGAAAAACTCTGCGCGTAATTAATTTATCCCCGTTCCGCCTTTCCCGGCGGACGATCGAATGCCGGCGTAAAACGCGGATCGCACCCCTTCCCTCCTCCTCCTCCTCCTCCCCCTCCCCCTCTTCAACACCTCCCGGCCAGCCGCTTTTCATCGCGCGTATCGAAAGGAAATCGCTACAATAGCTAACACCACCCACGAGAGTGCCGGGCACCAGCGGTATTATAGCTCGTTTCCCGGTAAAACACGTATTGTCATTCAACGAATTTTACAGCGCCGCGATAAAAATCCGAATGCCCTCCACCGATAACTCGGGTTCTCGCGAAATCGTCTGCCGTCCCACGCAATTTAGAAAGTTTCATCTCTCCGATATACTTTTTATTTTTGCAGGAGTCTGCAGATTTTCTCGCAAGAGACCTGATTATTTCGTTAGGGGACACACGCGCGTGCTGATTATCGCGAGGAGAATCGCGGGGAGAAATTTCGGATTGAGAAATATCGCGCCGCCATTCTTTTATTATTTTATTTATAGCAATAGTTTATATATATATATATATATATTTATACATATACATATGTATATATACATGTATATATATATATATATATATATATATATATGTATATATATATATTTATACATATATTTCTCTTTTATTTTCCTTAGGTCTCCATTTAATTAATCTCTTACGAAGATATACCTATAATTAAGTTTGCAGTTTGCGCAACGTAATCTCTCGCGTTTTTCATCAATAACTGTGTTATTATTTCCCGATTTGTTTATTTTTATCCGGTCGTTATTTTTTGCGTTTAGTTATATGCTTTACAAAGACACGGAGAGAATCGAGAGAACAGGCTAGATTAATTGGAATTGATACAGAGAGAAAGAGTGACAGAGAAATAGAGAGAGAGAGAGAGAGAGAGAGAGAGAGAGAAAGAGAAAGAGAAAGAAAGAGCGGCAACGGCAAAACGGTCAAACATACGTAGCCCCGAATATCTTTTTCTGCTACTACTCCGATTGTGTATATTCGTTATTTTCCTTCTCGTTCTCCGTTCTCTCGCGGAACCGCCCCTTTATTGTTGTGTTTGCATCTCTTTTATTCATTACGTTCGCGTACGTGCGCACAACGTTTCGACGCGACGACCCCTCTTGTTTGTCTACGTTTCCTTTTCCCTTTTCCGCCGCGTTTCATCTTCGATTTTTCGCGATTCGACGAGCTCGACGAAAAAGACTTCCTCCCGACTGGGGCCGGGCAAAAAATTTCAGATACATCTACTCGGCATAAATATTCAAAATTAAAAAAATAACAATATTTTTTTCCGAAAAATAAAAATCCCGCATTTGAATTATTCTTTCTCTCTCTCGGAGCTTTTTGCCCGTCCTCTGCCGTTCGCCAAGTGTTCTCGTTACAACCCACTCGTCGATTCCTCATCACCGGCTAGTCGCGACGTGAACTGTCTCGTCTCCGAGTCTCATTGCCGATTCAGGTATTAGCGTTTAATGGCGATCGGTGCGATGACCTCGCAGTGCGACGGTGGTAACAACGACGATGATATTCACGACACAATCACGCGGCATTGGTATGGCCTATGTTAATGTACGTACGTTCCTCTCGGTCCCCTTAAATCCCGCTGTGCTCCACGCGTTACGGCGAACGTGCGCTAATTGCGAGCTTGTCTCGCTGAATACCGGAACTAAGCGTTCTCCGATGAGCGCCGTGACACGTGGATCTAAGAGGATCGCAAGGATTGCGCGAAAGTGTATCGCGCCTGTCAGCGCGTCTGACGTTGCCAGCCAGTAACAGCTCGTTCGTACGACGAGCGCCCGTCGAAGGATATGCCCTTAATTGGAAATATAAAAATGCCCTCAGTGCTCGTTCAAGACAGATTTCAGCTCGCTTTCACGTGAAAGTAAGAGATTCGAGATTTTCATGTAACTCTCTAAACAGTCGCTAATAACAGCGCTAAAAACGAGCCAGAGAGAGAGAGCCTGAAACGCTACTTCACGTGAAAATTTGTTTCTGCACTAATTAAATTTATGTTCTTTTTTTTTCAATGACGGATCTGATCGCCTACACAACACTCTTAAATCGGAGCTTGCTCGCTTATTTTTTTACGCGCGTTCGTTTTTCGTTCCACATAAATCATAGAGGGCGAGGAGGCGTTCCACATTTCGCACGCTGACTTCTTCGTTGATTCGTACGCGAGACGTCGCGTTTAATCGAGCTGATCCTTGCGACTGGCACGGGATCGCGTGGGCTGCCGACGGATCGGAAACGGAACAAATATCCGCGAGGAAGGTACACGGTTGTGCTCGTCCCGCGGGAACTTCGTGTTCGTGCACCCTCGGGGAGAGGGTGGCACTTCGCGATCGAACGTAACAGGAACGGAAAAATAATAAAAAAGGGAAAAGAAAAACGGAGGAAGAAAGAAGTGAAAACGAAAATGGGGAACGGGGGAAGAGAGAAGGAGACGCGAGAAGAGGTTTCGGTTCAATCGCAAGAACTGAAATTGTCAGTTTTCGAGAGTGGGAAGCATGTATATCTCTGAGGGGGTGTGCTTTGGATAATGGCATTTGGGGGGCACTCTCCTCTTCTTTTAGGCTGTTGACAAAATAGAATGAAAAGCGGTCGTTTAGTTCAGAGCGCCCATGTAAAAAAGAGAGAAAAAAAGAGAAAGAGAAACAGAAAGAGAGAGAAAGAGAGAGACGTTTAAAACGCAACAGACGTTCAACAACACCCGGCAACGACATGACGCACGTCGGAAGGGGCACGTCGTTGCCGCACATTCAGAATTCGGAAACAAGCAATCCTCTAAAGAAAGCACAGACAGAGGAAGATTGAAGGGATGTACAGTGAAGCTACGTAAGAAAACGAACACTCTAGCTTGGTGGTGGTGTAACACACTGAGAAATTAAGGTCAGGCTTTTCGCGCGGTGGCGTTAATTTCATACTCACGAGGAGAGTACTCTTGGACCGTGTCGTGGCACAGATCGAGCTCTTGCATCGATCACCTCGGTGACCCGTTTCCGTTTTGCTGGTGAGATCAATGAATGGTACGTAATCCTCTCCCCCCCCCCCTCTTCCCACCTCTCGGCAAGAAATAGTTTTCAAGAACTGCCATATTTCTCTCGGCCGACAACGAATTTCGCTGTTTAAACGTTTAGCGAGACGCAATTACCTGGAACGACCCTGCGCTCCTTCGAGACTGTGCACTTTGTAGGAGCTAACGAGTGTTCCAGGCGCTTTTCAGTTTGTTTACCACATCCAATGTAGATCTTTCTTTCTTTTTTTTATCTAAATTTATGTAGTTAATAAAAGGCTTGCAGAAATGATAATAAAAAAAAAAGTAATTATACACGGATGCTGTGAGCCTTTGTTTATCATAAATCTCGTATGATTATTACTTTGGTTTGACCGTTCGTTAATCGCCAGCAAATAAGGAAAGGCGTCCTCATCACGTAATTATGCAAAATCTCGTTGGTGGTCGTAACTAACGGAGACTAAGGAAATGGGAAATCTAAGGTTTCTCCGTTATAAGTCATTCTAATCGGACATAATTCGACAGACGCAATCAGCCGTCACAGAAATTCGGAAGTTCTCTGCATTTAAAAGTCAAATCGCGCGAGTATAGAATCGCAATCCGTTTGGAGACCAAGTCCATAGAGTCACTCTCGTTTCTCGCGATCGCCGCGATGTCTCTGCGTCTTGTTCGACGAAGATTATCGCAGGGGAGAGCGAGAATGCTAATCGAGACGGCGAGATCACGTCTGATCGTGTGTGCGGGAGAGAGAGTTAACGACGACCAACGATCAACGACTGACCTTTCGGCGGCTGCATCCCCAGCTTTTTCATCCCCTCTCGGACCTCCTCGAGGTCTGTGTCCGAGACCCTCATGGTATCGGATACGAACTCGTGGCCTGGCGAATCGGCCAGCGCGCTGTTACTGCTCGCCGTCGTCACGCCGGTGGTGGTTGTCTGGCCAGTGGTCATTTGAACTGTTCGCAAGACAACACTGACGGCTAAACTAGACGGGTAGGGGGTGCGCGCGTGTATGTATTTACGTGTTCGTGTACATGAGAAATGCGTGTGTTATTATGTACATTAGCGCGTGTGTTTATGTATCTAATAATGCTAACGCTAAAATCTACTGGAACCTGTTTCCGCACGCATACGAGTCAGTAATCAGTGAAACGGGGAGGGTGCCGCGGTTTGTTTACCGTAGCCGATCGCACCCAGTTCCAGGTTATGCGAAAGAGGGGAAATTTAATTAATCTAAGCGCGTAAAACGGAATGACAGGTTAATTAATTTAAGCGCGAGATATGTCGAACTGCTTTGAGTACACTCTAAATTTCCACGAAAGTAAAATCGTAAACGCGAGCGTGATTCACACGTGTGTACGAAACACAGCCGATGAAACCATTATAGTTACATTGGTGATAAAAATTATTTTTATCCACGATCTAAATATCCGAGAAAGTTTTCTGGAGGGAGGGGGAGGGTTGTTTCTCGATGCTTTAGAGATACCACGAAACGCCGTCTTCGTAAAGTCTTGACATGCGAAAATACCGTTCTTTCATCAACTGGGAAATATTCGGGATACATCCGTGTTCTTCGAGCACTACACCGAATTTTTCCCAGCATTTTCTTTCCGATTCGATTTCTAGCGATACACTGGAACTGGAGCGAAATCAGATCTTTCCTCCGTCCAAAGGAGAGACGACGGGAGTCGTCGGTTCAATGGTCGGAGACGGTGCGGTGGAGAGATGAGACGCGGGAGAGAGAGAGAGAGAGAAAAAAGAACGAAAAAGTAACAGCAACCCGGATCCCCAGTCACGGAATAATCTTTGGCTTCGAGAATATTTCTAACGCGTTCGCGCGCTCGTCGAGCCATGATCGATTTCTCGACTCGACCATCCAGTATGTCCCTTAATCCGTTAATTCATTCGCGCCGATCGCAATTCCATTGTTTGCTCAGGCCAAAGGGGTTGATCGCGAGATGAATGACTCTTACTTTCTTTCTTTCTCTTTCTCTCTCTCTCTCTCTCCCTTTCTCCGATGCCGTAATCCCGACGTGACACCACGTTTCGTGCAAAAGCCCACGTACACGATGGAACGCATTGGTACATCCGTACAGATCGTCTAGCGCACTACTTTCCAACCGTTAAACAAACTGGCCTCGCCCGGGGAATTTAATTCGAATTTAATCCCGCGTCCTCTACTCCCTTTCTCTACCACCTAGTTCTCTTTTATTAAAAGGAAATTAATTTAAGCCATTCATATTTCGTGAAAAGAACTTATTAGTAATTAATACCAACGTAATATTACCTGATACCTATTATTATTCTCGCGTAAATTTATGTATGATGTAACTGTACACGATGTTATTATATGCACGAAGAAATTATTAATGTATCGGTAATATCATGATACGTCACGCAATATCAACTTTGTAGATCAAAGTATCAAAATATCATCAACATATCGATTTCGTTTGCTGCGCTAACTTTCACGATGGATTACGTAAATGCAATGCGAGCTGTGTGTGTGTATTACGGGTCTGAGTAATATCGTAATCGCGCGGGCCTCAATCTCAAATTCGATAACCTCGTAAAATATTAAAGACGTTGAGACTGCGGCACCTTCGTCCGATTTGAACTCCTAAGTTACAACTACTCCGGAGCCGACCCGCGGCGATCAATACGTTCCCAGCATCTGGCATGACATTTGCACAGAAAACGCGCACGCCACTACAGACACACCATCTCAAAAACTCCACACCATGCAAAAAAGGCGTCCACTGCGGGACGCTGCTAATCGGAATTGCAAATCAGGCGTAAACGCAGGCGCGACGCCGCCGATCTCTCTTATAGCCCCGTCCGCAAGTTGCATCTCGCAACTTGCATCCTTCAACCCGCGGGGTTTATCTCGGCCAGACATCGTGCCGCGAACGTCAAAGGGGAAGTCCCGGCCGCGGCAGACAATCGGAATTTTCCGACCCTTAGGTCGAACTGGCTACGCGTCACATCTGAGGTCGCGTGTATATACGCGAGTAACATTAACATGTAATAATCAATATTATTCTTGTCTAATTTGACATCTCGAACGCTCGACTTGCTTGATATTGAAATAATAAAGATGTTATTTCTAATTTCGCGCAAAAACACATGTCGCTTGATTGAATGTAACAAACTCGGGGTCGGATTTCGACCTCTCGTTAGTATCCACTTAATATTCCGACGGCGACCGCAGGACGTCCCCCTTGAGTATTATAGAAAGCTGCGTGCTCCGTAATCGATATTAACAGATCAGGAAGCGCGTCGAGCGACGACGCTCTCGAGCAAAACTGGAGAGAAACCTAATCACGTCGCAATGCCAACGTCGCGGCGTAACTACGCAAACCGCTCTACGTAACAGCTATAGAGAAGAAAAAAGAAAAGTGAAACGTATTACCTTGAGTATGATCGATGCTATCGGTGGTGCTGGCGAGCGTTTGATTGGGGTTGCTTTCCGCCTGCTGTTGGCTGGCCATCGCGTTCAACTCGTAGCCCTGACGCAGCAAGGACACCCGATAGAAGTAGTTGCGCCAGAAGTTCTCCTCGGATATACTGCCGCAAATAGGTCGGGGGTGAGTTCGCGGAATCGACGGGGCAGCGAAGGGGAAGGGGATTCGGACGAGGGGATCGGGTTCCGGGATCACGGGATTCGCTAATTAACGTTGCGCTTCGCGGCGCGGTACTTCATCGAAGTCGCAAACGGGATTAATCGTCGGGAGGCGATTAAATCTGTACAACGTACTCATATTCCGGCACGGCGCACTTTCGCGCGGTAATCGCCCTTGCTTCTTGTGGCCCTTGACATTTCTACAAGGAGGTGTCGAAAGGGAAACGCGGTCGATTCCGAAGCGGCGGGGATCTTTAGAGAAGCGGCTAATTGTTTAAATCGAGTAATAATGAGGAAGCAAACTGTGGATTAATCTTTTATCGATCTTTTTATTGACCGCCCGTTCTCAATCCACTGTAAAATTGTTCTTCTGACTTCTCTCTACCTCGCGCACCGTTTCATTACCTCGAACGAAATTACGAGGACCAATAAAATGCATTATTTTCATCGAATGTTGTACGACGTAATTTAATTAGCTTTTTCATGTTACGTCGAGGGTAGAAAATTAATTGAAAATGATTCCGCACTTTGACATAACAAGGGAGTTTGTAAGTCAATTAACGAAACCAAATCATATTTTCATAATTTGAACTTCGCAACTTTCATTTGTCGAGAAAATTTAATAATCAATATAAACGTTATTTAATTTTTTAATACATATTGCGCGATCAGAATGCAAGCTTGTGAGCGTAATTATTTTTGCATTAGGACACACGTCAGAATTATTAATTTTATACATCGTGTAATACATGCAAGATTAAACTTGCTTCACGATGACTTTAGCTTTAATTAATAAAATCGTTTAAAATTATAAAAGAGCAAGAATTATGCGGAAAGCGTAAACTTCCCGACATGTTCGTGATGTGAAATAAATGGAGCGGAAGAGCGACATTATGGATCGTTACGACATGGCATACTTTAATCTACTTACACTTTCGGGACAAGCTCGAACCTCATAGCTTCAAGATTCGGATCCAGGGCAAGGGTGGCCTGTGCCATTGGCTGAACGGCCTCAAAATCCCAAGCGAATTCTACGCCTGGTGGTGGTGCTCTCACGAAATTACGTCGATCCTGAAATCCATGAGAGGGTAGGATCCTAATTTAATCCTGTCGACTGAAGTCAAATTCGTGACGCTAATCTTTTGTAACGATGCGTAAATAAATAGCCAAGTTAACAGCGAGAGAACAGAAAGACAGAAAGACGCTATCTTTTCTCAAAGATAAAAGTTTTTTTCTAATTAATCGCTATAAGCAATTTCAAGTCATGAAAGAACGATTTGAAAAATTATTGTAGCATTATATTTCCATTAGAAAAAGAGACGTGTTTGCTATAATTATAAAAAAACTTTGCATACCTGCGTCGTATGTTATTTCTATATATATTGTTCCAAAGAAAGTTATTTCTTTAAATTGTAAAACTTCTGAACTAACTTTTATTAAAAATTTTTTTTCACTCAAATCTATATGCCAATTTTAGACGCGTCAAAAATGAACAGAAACAGCTAGGATATAATATCGTATAAAATTTTCAGTGCATGCGGCAGAGGACTATTTTTGTTAACGACATTCGATTGGCAGTTTTAGCAGTTTTGTCAGAAAACGTGATGAAACTGGTAAATGAAATGAAAATATGGAACGAGAATACGAGAGCGGGAAAAATCCGATAACATCCGCATTGCTCTTGTGTGGTATAATGCTTAACAAATGCAAATTTTATTATACAGTATCTTTGTGACGTATAGTTGGCAAATTCGTCTTATAGTGGAAATTCTCTGTGTGCGATAAAATTTAATAGCGACGCTCGAAATGCGCATTCGTACATCACACGATCAAATATAGAAATGCTTGAATTTAATATAGGAATAATTTAACGCATCCAATGTGCAGTAGTACATAAATGGTTTGAAGCGAACAAATTTGTTTCACGAAAATAAATCAACACGAACCGTCCGTCGCAATAAAATCCGAACGTCGAGAATGACATTTAAAGAGTTTTACACTCTCTGTGTCAAGCTGTAAAAAATTTGTTGTAAAAAAACCTCGCAAAGTGCGTTTCCGCAAAGATCACTACGCGCACAGAAAGAGAAGAGTAAAAAGAAAGATTATTACGGTCGAGAGGGACAGGCACTCCTCACGCAGCGCGTCCTCATTCGGCGCGCCGACCCACGGCGCAACAGCCTCGACCTTCTCGCCCGTCTGCTTGCTGGCGATGAAAGCCTCCTGCTCCTTGTTGAGCTCAGCGATCAGCCTCTGAAACAGAGAATTAATTTTCATGTCAGTAGCAGTTTTCGCATGGATTGCGACTTGGGACAAAGGCGCGAACGCGAATAAAGCGCGTCTCGAAACCGATTCTCGGTTATTAACGCGAGAGCGTTATGCTAACCGACGTGACGGCGGAAATAGCGCCGGGTTTACGATAGGTTTCATTTCATTTCGTTTCAGCGAGAGCTTATTATCGCGCGTGGATGACACGCGGATCCGCGCGATTCGCCGCCGTCAATTCGTTCTCGTTTACGGGGTATTAACGCCGGGAAATACGTCGGGCGTTTTAACGTGTGTCCCTATAGTGAATTGCAGGATATATGAAATCCACATGGCTGGCTTGGCGATTATAAGTCTCCCTCCCCTCCCTCAAAAAAGAAGTAGATCTTTGAAAGTAAAATTCATGTAAAATTCAGCTAATTCAGAGCACTTTTTAAAGCGCTGTAAAGAACAAAATTTAGAATTTCGTATTATGCCAAATAATACATATATGCACTTATTAACGCAATAATTACAGAAAACATATCATAAAAATTTAATTCTTCTACATATTTTTATTTGAAATTTATAAGAAAGTACAAAATTAGATAAATCTTTAGTAATGCCAAAATTAGATCAAACTTCTGTTTCCTTCATCGCATTATTTATTTACCCAAAATCCATTTATGGATGACACTCTTTCCTTCCTGAATTTGGAGCGAGCAAAAATTGAAACACGAGTCGATCAAATAAAGGGTATACGTGAGGAAGGCGCAGTCAGCGGAAAAGCAAAGGACAAAGTGTACTGCTTAATGTAGCGCAAATCTCGCGAGTTTCTTGCAACTGCGATGGAGCGAGAATCAATGAGATCGCTCAATTCTTTGGAGCGAGGCATTTTACACATAGTCACGACGTTACCATGCCATAAGGAAGTCCCGGGCAAGAATCGATGGCACAATTTTGTTCTTTTTGATCGTGTTCCGATCATTAAACGTGACAAAACTTTCTTCTCGAAACGGAAATTCTTTTATCGCGACAAGATACGTTATCTTCTTATATGTTATAAATTATGTTTTTTTGATCGTTAAGGACACGCGCATTGACGCGAAGGGTAGAGTTTCTGTCGAAGGCGAGATACAGAAACTTATTGATAAATGTTGCAAACGGATTGAAGACATAAATGATGAAAAATGAGCATCCCGTGGATCAACGATGACTCAAGTATTTCGAAGATCCTATTAAAACTCGCTTTTACGAGCGAGATGTTTTTTTTTTCCTTAAACTATCCGATTATTTCAGTAGTTTGCAGCAGTCGAGAGGTGTGATTAACGAGGGTCGATTGCATTTATACGGTTGCAAGTATCTATAAATCTTCTCCCACGCTGCACTCGTGCGAATCGAAAGAAATGCCCATTAATTATTTCAAAAAAGAAGATCTCACAAATACGTTTCTCACGGAAATTGTACTAAAGTTAATTGCAAGATTTGCAAGTATATATATAAATATTTTCCATACATAAAAGTCAAGCTTTTGTTCCACGATTTACAGAATTCTTTTTTTTTCCTCGGATAAACAACTGCGCTTGGCTGAAGTAGACTCAACTTATTTTTAAGCGGAATTATACCGGATGCTAAATTACCCAGAACGGTCAGTTTCTTAACGATTAAAATTCTCGTTTACGTCGCAATCCGCGTGCGAGCGCGAGTCGAGTTATCGACTTTTCATTTCCTACATGTTTGTGCGGTCGGAGAGAATTGAGACCGTCAATTTAACATAATTTCTGTGACTGTTGAAAAAAAAGTGAAATATTTATAGATTATTCGGGGTAGCACGAATACGGGAGTAGCGGAATAAAATTAGCGTGTTATATCAAGTCGACAGGCTCGATTTATTTTCCGATTTCAGCGTCGAGAGATCGTTGCGATTTCATTTATAATTTGTGCTCACCTGCGCCCAGCTTTTAGAAATAGTCACGCGAATTTCCGGTGCGCCGGGAGTGTCACAATAATTTTCTAGAACGCTATTTTTCTTCGTGACAGCTGTTTAATCGATACGCGGCTCCGACCGCGTGCCACTGCGACGGCGATTGCCGAATAAATTTGTAAAACATCGCTGCATTATACACGGCGAGCAAGCTGCGCGGTCCCAGCAGCCGAGCGATTCTCGAAATGACCGCGATGCGTTTCCCGCTCGCCGTAAAGCGGGATATTGACTTCATCGCCGATAAATCGATTCGTGCAATCGGCGCGCGCGACAGTAACAAAATATCAGCACAATCTTTGGACCAGAAACAAGAAACGTCGTTACGAGAGAACGGGGAGAGGAAGGAAGGAAATGTCATATGTTCAGAATATATAGACACTCGCCCATGTATCTTCGGAGGGTGGCGTTGATGTCGTGTAGTCTCGATGATATCGACAGACTGACAAAATATGCGAAAAAAAGTTTGTGGTAAAAAGAGGACGTTAAAATAAAATAATAAAAAGCAAGAAAATATGTAAATATAACTTTAGAAGCTATAAAATTTTCAGCCGATTCCAAGATTGAAATTAACCTTTAATTAAAGACATATTGAAAAATAAGCGATTATAATGCGCAGCATAAACTTGAACGCGTACTGTTTAATGAACCGATGCAAAAGGTTTTACATTAATAAATCAAGATCTGGGAATCAGAGATCGCTGTGTTTCATGATTTCGCGCGTAAACCATCGTAAATATATTTGTACGAAGGTAGTCTCTCAATCAAAGTGAGTCAATATATCGCGTCTCACGGTAGATTGAATTTATTTGCGATAAGTGGAACATTAAAGAGCCGTGCGGCGAAAGGATATAGCACGTCGAATCGATTTCTTGGCGATTACAAACGAGCCCGACGATTAATCGCTTCCTGGCCGATTCTTTTCTGAAATCTATTTTACCGCCTAGATGTAGCTACTGTATTTTTGCACCTTAATGTGCCGTCGCAAATTTGATTTATGGCGTCGCACGTTGATGCAACACTGAAAGCCCATAGTATAATGAAAACTAACAAGATCTATTCACTGGCCAATCCCATAAATTAATCTCACAAGAACGTCGTGAGAAAAATTTATACACCGTGTTGAATCTACCGCTCGGAACGGCGCCAGAAATGTGTGTGCTTGAATCAAAGTAAATATTAAATCACAGATCGCTTCAAGACCGAAACTTTCTTCTCTCTTGGGATTATGCAACTTTCAAAAAATAATCAACTCTGAAAATAACCTGTAATACGATGCCGCTTGTTCGATAACGACGTTTGCTATTGACGTTTTTCAAGTGCCATTTTTTTTTTAACAGAAAATTCGCAGTTTTATTATAGAAACGTTTCTTTCATCCCTGTGTAATTATATAATATAATTGCGTAGTTTTTAATAATTCCTCTCCCGATTGAGCAAGTCGCGTAATTGCAATCTTCTAGCCACTTTCTATTAATTACTCGACTATATTTTTAGAACATTCCGGTTATTATGGTTCTCGAGAGAGAAAAGACGCCTACAATACCGTGAGTTTCTATAAAGGAGACGCTAACCGTTTTTTTGTGTATAATATTAGGTCCTGCGAACAATCTTATTTTAATTTCAAGTTTTTTTTCAATCTAGTACGGCAGAAATTTCCATTCGCGCTTCCGATCGATCCGCGACAGGAACAGAAATAACTGATTATCTCCAGCGTCGCTGAAAAGTCCTGAAAAGTCTTCGTCCGTGACGCTCGAATTTCTCTTCTCGACGACCTGACGCCATTATAGAAATCCATTACCGGATCCGCCGAGCGGAGGGAACAGCCTTAAAATAATTTTAATCGTGGCATGGCCGCGATCGGCGTACGCGAAAAAAAAAAGACTTTGTAGAGCAAAAAAAAATTGGTATTGCAGTCACGCGTTCACAGAAATCGTGGCTAGCATAATGGATCGCAAGTGTTGACAAATTCCTGTACCAGGAAAGAACTATTCTACACGAGGAGATGGAGCAGCCGAAGATGCCAAGGAAGGTAAAATGCCAAAGAGAATAAAAGAGCATTGAGAATCAAACGATCATAAGGTAGAGAAGTAAGAGAGTAAAGTAAAAGCTGCGAGGTGCAACTGATGTAGAAATCAGCATTTCTGACGTTCGCATTCGATGATATTCGCGATATTTCGATATTAGTCGATTTATATATCGAATAAATATGAAAAGAGAGATGTTCTCTAATTAATATTTTAATATTAATTAGAGAACATCTCTCCATTTAAATAAAACTATTTTATTATTTATTACAATTATAACATATATAGTATATGTATAAAATTTCAGTTTATTAAATTTCATGAGAAAGCATTTATAAATACTATATATTATAAAAGAATTATTAGAAACGGATATTTAACTACGTAAATATTGAATTTAATATCACGTCTTTCTCCGAGTTATCCAAATGCAATTAAATACATCGCGAAATTATTATCAACTATTCATTAACTATGCATTACGATCTATTTATTATCATAAGGTTAATATTTTGATTTATTACACGTACTGCATAAGTATTTATATTATTTATTGCATTTATTGCATCGGGGGCAAGCGTAATTTGCATCGGGAAGAATTACGTCATTCGAGAAATTGATTACGCACGCTTGTGGTGAGTGCCATTTATCAAGGGAACGAGATAGAAGAGGGCATATTTCAGTCACGAAGAGCTCTCGCCGCAATTCTTTTCCCTGTCCGGCCGTAAGAAGTCGATTGCGTACTCATTGCTGATTAGGCCGTCGCAATATCGGACGGAACGGTGCAGAACGCGCAACGGGCCATCAAAAAGTCTTCCCTGGGAGATCGTCGACTCGTTCAGACACATCTCGTCCCGGCGTATATACGTCTCCGAGTATCGACCGAAATGTCGATAGTTGACAAACGTACACGATTACGAGGTGGAAAAGCTGCTCGTAAAAAGAACGACTTGACCTGACAAAAAAAAGGGGGAGCAGGATACTTTCATCAAGACAGTACGTC